GCTCTCTAAGGAATATGAAAAGAGACCAGCGCCTGAGCTGAAAAATAAACTTATAACAATGGCTAAACAGGCCATTGACCATTTTGAAAATGATAATGATGAAACTGGTAGGGACTACAAAAGATTTCTTGTCTTGAAAATGGCAATGTTGCTTTTTGGTGTCGGTATGATAGGGGCTGAGTCCGTTAAAAACAAGATTTGTAGAGAGGATATGTGTGTAGCGAGGCACTGCTTACAGTCAATACAAAAACCAGAAATGTGGGAAAGAATGGAGGTCAGGCGAAAGATGTTTTACTTTCTGGCCTATTCAAAATATCAAGAAACTAGTAATGACAAACATTTAGCAATAGAGTACCTTCGAAAGGTGAAGAGTTTCGCAGTAAGTGGTGAATTTAATGAAGAGCAACGAAACATTGATAACAAAATTAACACATATCAGCAAGAAAATAATACTTGTAACATAATAATAATGGCTGCATTAACATTATTATTGTATACATTATATTCTCTTATTTTTAGATGACTGTAATTCAAACTATTAAGTTTGAATTCTTATATTCAAAGAAGAAAGAATTGTGATATTTTCTGATCATGTTATCATTATGTTATGAATTATAAACACATAAATATTAGATAATCTATGAGCATCTGAAACGAAACAATTTTATTGAAAAAGAAACACGAATAAAATAAAGATACATAATCATTATAATTATTTATAGAATATTTGAAAAGAGGAAATTGTTCTTTAACATAACTTATTGAAGAAGGAAATTTTTAAAAAGATAATATTTGAAGGTCATATAGTTATTGACAATGTATGATGTAATAACGGTAAAGATATGCCGATACTTATAGAGAATAACTATTCCTTTGCCTTATACCAGTTTTTTTCTCGGTCATTGTCTCTTCCTGATCAAGGAACACAGTTAATTGGATTATGATAAATGTGCAGGCTGTATGTGCAGTTTAACTTGTGCAGGTTAACCATGCTACTTGGAATGTGTGAAGTCCAGACGTTGAAACTCCTGTAGTAATTGACTTTTTTTGAATGATCAAATATGATATCTAGTTGAGCCTTTCGTACAAATCTGCGTGTATTAATCTGTGTTTTTAAAAAGAAAACAAATAAACGATTTTAGCAGCAATATGTGGCAATGCATATTGATTTTTGTTATATGCAATAAATATATATATATATATATATATATATATATATATATATATATATATATATATATATATATATATATATATATATATATATATATATATATATATATCTCAAAATATATATATATATATATATATATATATATATATATATATATATATATATATATATATATATATATATATATATATATATATATATATGAATATATATATATATATATATATATATAAATCACACATTTTTTGGAAATACTGGCAGAGAAAAGAAACGGTTATGATTTTGTGTTCCAGCATTTAAAATCAACATATGATAGATATCTGGAGGGAGGATTTGATACATTCAGTACGGTTAGCATGGTCGAAACTTCAGAATCAAAAAGCAGGAAATTTTCTCAGATTTATCGACATACACTGAGGCGACTTTTAAACGAAAACGAAATGAAACACTTTAGAGAACTACAAAGATTTGCAATCGATAAATGGCAGCACAGAAACCCACAAGAATTAGATTACCGAAAAGTTGTTGAACTTTCTGACTTATATTTCATGGTTCTCGATTCTGAAGCAGAAACCAAACGATTACGATTTGAAACAACCAATTTTAATGAAGATGTTTTTAAAGAAATGATTAATGTAATACCGAACACATCCAATCCAGCTCGAAGCTCAATGCAGTACCATTCAAGACTTGGTTCTTATCTAAACATGTCCGGTAAACCATTTGACCTTTCAAAAAGTCATATAATGATAGCATTTCAACAATCGCACACAGTAGAAGCCTGTTGTGAAAAGGGACTGCTTTTTTATACGTATTTCAATTTAATTTCAAAACATTATGATGATAATCCTAATGAACACTGCAGGAAAGAATTGTTGAGAGTTTCAAACTGTGCCCTAAATATTTTCTCTCTTGGCGATGAGCAAATTTATTCTGATTTTCAAAGAGTGTTTTTCATAAAAATGGCAATGGTAAATTTAGGAATAGGATTATTTGGTCAAGACCTTCAGGGTATAAAAATATCAACTGACAACCTTATAACTGCCGAAAAGCTCCTTAAAGAAGTAGGAAAGCCTTGCTTTTGGAAAAGGATGGAAGTACGCAGGAAAATGTTTTATTTTCTATGCCTTTCAAAAGTTTCAAAACTTAGATTGGATTTATTATCAGCAAAGAGATATTTAAGAGTTGCATTTTTATTTGCGAAAAAAGGGAAATTTCAAGGCGAAAAAAACAATATCATGAAAACATATCATAACCTTAATACTCTTTAGAATTTTAACATGAATGTAAATATTTTTAATAAACAGAGGAGGAGAATGAATGATTTTATGTTTTTATATTAATTATAAGATAAAGCTAGAAAATGATGCGTTCTTACAATGTATATTGTGGTTCAACTTGACTATGTAAATCAAAAGTAGAAAGTTTTGTAATTTCCAAGTGAACCATCCTTTTTTTCAACAACATTATTCAAGGACAAATATTTTCAATGTTGTTTAAAACTATTTCTAAAGAATATAAAGCTGGGGAAAATTATTTAATCGATTTTTCTACTAAAGTTTAGAATCGTTATTCGCAAATCACTCCTTTAAAAAAAACTAAAGAGCATATTCAATTATTGCAGTTTATAAATTTTTTATTGTTAAAAAAAAAAGGTGCGGTTTATAACCTTGCAACTGAGCAATGAAGTTCCGGATGACAGCGTCAAAGCAAGTAAAGTATTGTTATTTAAAATTTTGGTTGGTGCAATTGTGTGTAACGTTATCCCAATCGATAGTTCACATGAATCCCTGAACGCCAAACAATACATATCCTTATGTAATTCAGCGTAGATTTATATAATTGATCAGTGATCAAAACTTTTAAAAAAGTGAATATTAAAAGATTGTTAGATACTTTACAAGCACTAGTTGGAGGTATCTCTGTTAAATACTGCATGATTTTGACGTATCAAATGGAAAGTTTTGACTTGGAGATTGGAAAGCGATTGCTTCAAGAAAATATTGTGTATCTTTGTGTACCTTTGATACGTATAGTCGTATACGACTATAATTTAAAGGTGTCGCTTATTCAAGCTGGGATTTTAATAAAAGTTCGTAGGAGTGACATTGAAAGTAAGTTGATTTTTCCAAAAAATCGAATTAATAATTTTACATTTGTTGGACTTGTCACCACTAAAGATGTCGTGCTTCCTTGAAGTGTTGAAAGACAATGCAAATGGCATTGGCTATATCTTTAATTATTTAAGCTAAAACCATTGACACCTAGAGATGTAGGATCAATAATACAGAAGTCTCTGAAAAGACACGTAAAAGAAATGTAGCGTACAGACATACCCTGATGCAACTTTCACATGAAAATCAACCAGAAAAACTGTATCAATTACAGAAGTTTGCTTCAGATAGATGGCACAAAAGCAGATTACAAGATATGCATGCTCCAAGGGTGAAAAAATTAGCCGATCAATTTTGTATGGCCATCGATTCAAAAACAGAATGTAAAAGAATAAAATCAGATAAGTCTTTGTTAAAAAGTGGACTTTTTGAGAAGTTGCAAAGAGCACTGTCTTTTACAGAAAATCCTGCGCGATCGACAATGTTGTATATGTACCTGGCACGTTTTGGATCAGCTATGAGTTTAGCTGGAAAACCCTTCTTTGATTCACTAAACTTTATAGAGCAGGCAATACAATAATCCAAAAGTGTGTATCCCTGTCTGGAAACTGGAATGATTTATTAAATATACTTCAACATGTTATCGAGCGATTATGAAAAAAATACAATACCAACAAAAAAAATTAAACTGCTAGATATTACCAAGAAAACCTTAGAACATTTTTCTATGGAAAACAATGAAGCAGTGTACTGTGATTATAGACGATTTCTTCTAATTAAAATCGCTATGATTTACCTTGGAACTGCAATATACGGAGAATTTATACCGAATACCATAGTCGATGTTGAGAATATGCACTCAGCAAAATGTTATCTGCAAGAAATTGAGAAACCTGAAATGTGGAGTAGAATGAAGGTAAGAAGGAAAATGTTCTACAGTACTTCAAAGTCAAAAAACAACAATTTTTAGAATAATAATTGATGGCACGGATGTGATCTGCATGTCACATCTAACATGGATGTGACTTGCATGTCACATTTTGTGGCCTATTTTGTTTTGATGTGCCATCTTTTAGCTAACTTTAAATTTTTCATATGATATGATGTTTTGATTGCCTTGTCTTACAGATACTTTTTTCTAATTATTTTTGGGGGGATCCGACATATTTTACGTAACTGATAACCAAAGCTTGTGAATCTGATCCCCCTCTTGTTTGTTACACTTGTAAATTGTTCACATTTATACCGTCATTTTAATAAATGACATTCACCACTATGAAAGTGTTTTATTTGACTTATACAAAATTAGCAAAAACAAGCTGCGGTGAGCTTGCCTATATATAAGCAAAAGAATACATAAATATGTTTAGGGGAAAACAACGTTGGTAATGCGAAAGTGTTTGCAGTAGAAGGAGGTTACAGCAAAGAGAATTTGTTAAAGTATGCATGGCATATTTTTGTGTTATGTATAAATATAACTCATGGTTAATCTGCAGCTTTAAATTACGACATTAGGTAAGAATTTGGCTTATATCATTTTTGTTCAATGATTTTCAAAGATTTTAACTTCATAAATGACAAAGTTCATGCCCATGTTCACAAACACATATGTTTGACCTATTGTGAAGAAGAATTTCGTTGTCGTTGAATTTTATTTAGAATGTGCAAATAAGTTTAATTCATAAATTGAATAAAAATAGAAGTTGCAGATTGTAAACAAAACAACAATGCAGCCGTGTCAAGGCCTCATTCAAGTCACCGGAACAGGATCTATTTTGCATTGTCTCAAAAACGAAAGTACGTATAATTGGTCATAATTAGACTGTGTGAAACATTAGAAAATTTGTAAGATGACATTTTTAGGATTATACATTCACTGCATTTATTCACAGTGTGTTTCGTGTTTAGTGTACATGTACAAAATTTTATTTTGTCTTCAAAATATCCTCAAATATGCAATTCACTTACAACAAAACTATAAGTAACATAGAATTCTTTGAGTAATTTTGCTTTGATGTCTTTGTTCCTGTAGTATTGAATAAGCTGAGTCCTATCGGAACTGACAAAAGGTAAGAATATTAACTGAACATTTTACTAATCGAAATTTGTTATTTAAGCTGAAATATACTTTTTCATTTTCGCTGAATTAAATGGGTCAGTGATTGGTGTTTTGTATCTGACATGCAGACGAATATGACGATATGAACGACTTGGCACTAAGCCAATCCTGTTTGCAAGACAGTAACCGAAGCAATCGATGCAGTACTTTCAAAATTATTTACTATAACGTATCTTCATAATTATATGAGTCACCTACCGACGCGTTAGGAAAGCTGAAAGACGTCTACATGTGGTGTTTTATAACTTTTACATTGTTTTATTTCATTTTATTTTTTTGTTTGTCTTATCAACCAAAAAGTGTTAAAGTGTTACTTTTCCTTATTAGTCCCCTACCGGTGAAACCGGGGGGGGGGGGGGGTACTATAGGTATCTGTCTGCCAGTCTGTCCTACTTGGTTTTCTGCACTTTTTTTCAAATTTACGCTTGCAAATATTGAGCTGATTTTAGTATGAAGCTTTATATCTTAATTGATTGGTTGTCCCCCACTTTCGCAAAAGCGAGAGGACATTAAATCTCATTCGTCTGTCTGTCAGTCTGTCTAGCTGTCCGTCCGTCACAAAAACTTTAACCTTGTCCATAACTTTTGATTTAGTGGAGCTATGACTTTCATATTTCACATGTGTATTCCTTGTGACAAGACCTTTCTTTGAGTACCATCAAATTTGACCTTTTGACCTTGACCTTGGAGTTTTACCCACTTTTACAAAAAAAAATTAAATTTTACTTTGGCCATAACTTAGATACTAGGACTTTTATATTTCACATATATATTCTTTGTGGCAAGACATTTCATTGGATAGCAACAACTTTGACCTTGGAGATTTCTGTACTTATGAAAAAACTTTAACCTTGGCCATAACTTTAAAACGGTAGGGGCTAGGGCTTTCATACTTCACATATATAATCTTTCTGAAAAGTCCTTCCATCGGATGACAAGAACTTTGGCCTTCTGACCTTGACCTTGGAGTATGGCCTTCTTTTTGAAAACGTTTAACCTTGGCCATAACTTCTGCAGGGCTAGGGGTAGGGCTTTCATACTTCATGTATTGAATCCTTGTGACAAGACCTTTCATTGGATATCAAACACTTTGACCCTGACCTTGGAGTATGACCTACTTTGTAAACATTTTAACCTTGACCATAACATTTGAACGGTAAAGGCTAGGGCTTTCATACTTCATATATTTATTCCTTGTGACAAGACCTTTTATTGGATAACAAGCTAATTGACTTTCTGATCTTGACCTTCGAGTTTGACCTACTTTTTTTCGTTTAGGAACGAAATAAAACATAACTAGAAGTACTGTGAGCAACACGAACTCACTAAATGATACCCCCCTCCTCCCATATATGATTATTATGACAAATTTAAGTCCCTGTTCTGCTCTTGGAGATGTGACATAAGAGTCAGATCAAAAAGTAAAATAGCTAGGAGGTGCACAATGGCAATATGTAATAAAGATTCAGTGAAGTTTCATCAAATTTCATTCAGTGGTATGAGAGGAATTGCGGCTAAGAGATGGGATAACCCAAAGCGTAACGGACGGGCAGACCCACGTCCCGATTACTATATACCTGCCGCTTTTCATGCGGGGGTATAATAAAGCCATGCCCTAATACCATAACCCTTTACCCTGATTTCTTGGAATTCACAATTTTGAAAGAGGTTTTCTTGCTCATCATAAATATGTATGTAGTTAGTTTGTTTATACCCCGAAGCTTGGAAGATTTTCAAAGAAGTAATGTATCTTTTCTATATAATCAATAGAGCCCTTCCCTAACACCTGAACTCCTGTCCCAGGGGCCGTGAATTCGCGGATTATAAAGCGTAAACTGACCCAAACCAGATTATACTCGATAATTTGGCCAAGAATTAGAGTCATTCCTTAAATGTGCCAACAGCTTGGACCATGTCAACTTCAACTTCAATTGCACATTGTAATGCGGACATACCACAAGCACTTGTTTCGGAAATAAAATTTTTAACCCATAGTATAATAATAACACAGTCAAGTACGACGGCGTATTCGTGCCATTTTAACAATGTAGATTTTTTTAAATCGTTTGAACGATTTAAGAAAACGTTTGTATGATTTTATAAATCGTTTGTGCGATTTAATAAATCGTTTGTACCATTTAATAAATCGTTTGTACAATTTAATAAATCGTTTGTACAATTTAATAAATTGTTTGTACAATTAAGTAAATCGTTTGTACAATTTAATAAATCGTTTGTATAATTTGATTGTTATATTGTTTGTACAACTTATTAAATCGTACAAACGATTTATCAAATTGTACAAACGATTTATTAAATCCTACAAACGATTTATTAAATTGTACAAACGATTTATTAAATCGTACAAACGATTTAATAAATCGTACAAACGATTTAATAAATCGTACAAAAGATTTAATTAATTGTACAAACGATTTATTAAATCGTAAACGATTTATTAAATCGTTTGTACGATTTATTAAATCGAACAAACGATTTAATAAATCGTACAAAAGATTTAATAAATCGTTTGTACGATTTAAAAAAAAAATCTACATTGTTAAAATGGCACGAATACGCCGTCGTACACAAGGTATCTAACTCAGAATAATAATCAGTACCCCCTCTTCCACCGTATACAACGGGTAACGCGGGGGAGTCGCTAAAAAGTATGGGGGAGTCGTTTTCAACGTATGGGGGAGTCGATTTTCACCGCTTCGGAGTCAGAAGTGATGTGGGTCACGTCTTTTTTCGGTATATGTAAGATGTATTTACAAAAAACAACTAGCCCACGGAAGGTAGTAATAGTTAAGCTTTCTGTTAGTCATTTGTCCGGCTAGCATATACGTCTAGTATCTCAAACACTTCGAAACTATTCGACAGATTTCATATTTACGTTGATCAAGTGGTTAAAACATGCATAGTTTGCACAATCTACGACTTGTGTAGGGATTATAACCGTTAAAACAGCAAAAGCTAACGTTAATCTTTCAAATGCAACAATTGAAATTTGGCTAGACTTTATAAAAATTAATATTAAAACATTTTCTCTTCAGAAAGTAAATGGTTACGTAGGGGGGAGTCGTTTCTGGAAAAACACAACGCATAGTTACCCGTTGTATACGGTGTCTTCAGAAACGAAACTGTTTACAGAGATAAAAGAAAACAAAGACAAGTATGTTATGTATGGTTGTGTGTAAGACCACACCAATTTAATTTCTTGTTCGTCGGACATTTGATGAAAAAAAGAACGAGCGGGCTTGGGGTTAAATAATATTATTACTTTATTGTAGGCAAAATTTTACGGCGGGGCGTGAAAAACTGAGCGGAGAATTATGTTTTTTCTGATTTGCAGAATAAGTAGATTAAAAGTACGATAAATAGAGCAGAAATGGAACAGAAAACAGCACAGAATTTCCATGGTGCGGGGATTGATTTTAAATTAATATTATTTGTATGGTTTTGTTTAAATACGAGCGCGCGGGTCCGACGAACAAAAATTTTTATTGGAGAGGCCTAAATAAATTCAGGCTCGGATCCAGAAATTTTTTCCAGGGGGGGTCCACCTCAGTCCAAAAAAAAATCCAATCCTAGAAATTTCTTGACATGCAAAAAAAAAAAAAAAAGAAACGTAAATTCGCCCAAACGCCAAAAACACCTATTTCGTGGGTGGGGGGGGGGGGGGGGGGGGGCTTCTTTTGCCTCAAATCTTTCGCCTCAAATCTTTCACTTGTCATACCCCTTTCACACATATTCGCGTTTACCAGGGGGGGTCTGCGTTTTCCAAGGGGGGTCCATGGTAACTTTTTCTTGTTTTAGTATATACATTTTTTAACCTGGTAAATTCCAGGGGGGGGGGGGGGGTCCTGACCCCCCCCTCTAGATCCGCGCATGAAATTAATGGTAATAAACAGTTTGCCCGTGCATTTACTCTGAAAGTGTATATGAATGCGTTTCTGAGGAGGCGGTAATGAGTGTAATTCGGAGTTAGATATCTTGTGTTATTAATTATACTAAGGGTTAAACAATTATTTCCGAAACAAGTGCCTGTGGGACTATACACAACATTTTTATCAAGCTTTTTTCTGTTTTTCGTAAACAACTAAAGATGAAGAGCCCATTTAAAACTAGAGGTACTGTGAGCATTGAGCTCACTAAATGATACCACCCACCCACCCCCGCCTCCCATATGAATACAATGGCAATGACCATGTTTTGCTTTGGGAAACCCAAAATTTGTGTCGGATCAAAAAGTAAAATAGGATGTGCACAATGGCAAAATGTAATATTAAAGATATTCTGTGAATATTTCATCAAATTTCATTCAGTGGTATACACGAGTATGAGAGGAGTTGCGGATAACAGATGGGTACCCCAAAGCGTAACAGACAGACGGACATACCGATTACTATATACCCCCCGCTTTTAAAGCGGGGGGGGGTATAAAAAAGACAAATACGCCTGAATACATATGCTTTGAACAAAAACGGTCTCGGTAGAGTAATTCACACTCGATAACAATATGTTTGACCGTATTAGGTAAGCATTGTAAATTAAAGACAAAATTGTACGCAACTTATAAATTGATGTGAAGGGTTTTAAATTTTTTAAAACAATAAAAGTGGAGACATATATATAATCCCGCCCTGGCAACAGAGTCCCTAATTCTGGATTAGAGATTCTGTTGCTAGGGCGGGGTTATTTTGGTAGAAGACTCAATGCATATTACAATCATGCCAACAGTTTGACTGCTTGATTTCCTGGAGTAAAGGATTAATTAATGTTTGACGCCAAATCGGCAATATTTCAGCCAGATTTTAAAAGAATGCATTAATTCTAGTGGTTTTGGCCCCATCCCTCAGTCCCCGGGGTGACGGACCATGCATAAAATTCACCATTTTTGTTCCGATATTTTATGCCAAAATTGGTTGATATTGGTTGAGCAGTTTCAGAGAAGAAACTGAAATTTCAAATGTCATCAACGCACGACGATACCAAAAGGTTACCAGAGTTTAACTAAGGTGACCTAAAATTTTATGGCTTACAGTTTCGAAGCATAGTACATGTATCTAATTATAATGTTTTTATTTTCCTTGTAGGAAGGAATGAATAATTTTTGCCTGTAATCATGAATGAATCTACAATACAAACTCTTCAATTGCTTTTCAAACGAAGGATGGAGTACCTTTGTGACAATTTAGACTTTCATATCTTAAAAGTCCCTCTAATAAGTCACGATGTGTTGTCATTACGTAAGGGAAAATTAATTGAAAAAAGGAAAGTGAAGTCTGAACAAATATCAATACTTATTGAGTTTCTTATCGAAAAACCACAGAAAATATACCTGTTTCTCAAAATTTTAGAAAATGAATCATATGGCTATAAATTTGTGTATGATCATCTACAAGCAGAACTTACAGCATTAGATCAATCATCTTTACCATTTCAACAGATCGTCGCCAAAACAAAACCAAGTTGTGGACATGATAGAGCTGCTAATTTAAAATTTAGACATTTTTTAAAGCGACTTGTGCATAGCAATAAAGTGGAAGCATTTGATCAATATCGACAGAATATCACACTGGAGTGGAAACACTGTACGGAATATTCTCAGAAATTCCTTCTGGCAGATCGTTACTGCATGGTTCTTGATGCAGAGTTGGAACAAGGACTGGTAAAAGCAGATCCAACACTAGTGAAAAGTGGGGCATTTCAAGAAATTCTCAAATGTTCTCCGTATACTCCATTTCCTATTGTTTACAATATGCTTTATTTGGCAAGGTTTGCGTATGCTTTGCTCCTTGCTGGCAAATCCTTCGAAGAAGTAATGTCTCATATCTATCAAGCTAGAACTCACGCCAGCAATATTGAACCTTGCAGAGAAACTGGAATAGTAATGTATATATTGTACAATATGAAATCGGTTTCGTATGAAAAACGCCCAACCTTAAAGAAGAAAATGCGGCTTTTAGATTTAGCAAAGCAAGCTATATTCCATTTTGGCAACGAAAGTGAAGTTATTTCCGAAGATTATAGAAGACTGTTTTTGATTAAAATGGCGATGCTTTATTTAGGAATTAGCATATTTGGCCAAAATATAACAAATCTAAGTATCAATAGGGAGGATATTGGACACGCAAAGGACTGTTTAAGGAAAGTGTCAACGAAAAAAATGTGGCAGCGGATGGAGGTTCGTTGGAAAATGTTTTATTACATGTGTGTTGTGAAGTACTTACAGCTAAAAGATCCCCAAGAAGAAAATTTAGAAGTTCAAATCAGACTGGCAAAACATGCCAAGGTGTGCTCAATTAAAGGAGGACATTATTAAAAACATTTTTTCCTCATTTCAGAGAAATCTATATGTACCTTTCACTTACTACATTGTAGATATATTATATATGTTAGAATTTCTTATATGGATCATTTCCATTATCCGTCTAATGCATTGTGTATAGCGGGACATGCTGATTACTGTTACTTGATCTTGTGTTATTGTTTAACAGACAATATATACACATATATTTATATTTGGTTAATGTTCGGACAAGGCTATGTTCGTCATGGGCAGGATAAAACAAGGGGAATTTAAACAGAGATTATTTGAGTAAGAACATAAATTACGTTTCTATGCAGTATGGTCTATAACTTAACTGTAATATTTAATTAGTGTGATGAGTATGTGTAAAATACAAGGAGACAAAACTTTGTATAGCATTTTTGAATGTGAATCAGTTATTATTCCTCTTAAGTATTCCATTGATCCCTATATCAGTTTAGTTATTTTATTATCATACTCATGTTGAACTGAAGCACATTTTTGGGTGGGGCGAGGGACCCTTCTCTATAAGTTCATCGTCCCTCTTGTGGGATATTTTTTGCACCCCACCTTCTGCTGTATTCTATAAGTGTAAAATTTTTCATTTTATTTGGCATTTGTAATGTAATAATTGCTCTATTCACAAGCAGTCGCTTTATCATTTTAATAGCTGCAGAACAGAGCTGCAAATGTGCTTCTAGGACATGTACATGTGAACTGAGTTGTTCATTATTGCCCGCATTTAAGAGCACATAAGTGTATTTATGTACATAAAGGAATTTATGAGATCTAAATGCTCAAAGTTTTTGTATTTTGATTTACTAATAATGTTGTATGAATGTTTGGGTCTTGAGGGGTTTTTCCGGGTTATAGTTTCCAAGCGCCCTCTATTGACGGCTATTAGCCTAACCCATATTCATAAATACCGCTTGGCTCCAAAAAAACGTGGTTAGAAAATTTTACCCTCCTCCACCCCTTGTAACCTCCATGCACATTGTTATTATTGTTCAGATTACTGATTTTCTTGTGTTGAAGGTGTGGGATATTTTTTGCACCCCACCTTCTGCTGTATTCTGAAATTGTAAAATTTTTCATTTTATTTGGCATTTGTAATGTAATAAATGCTTTATTCACAAGCAGTCGCTTTATCATTTTAATAGCTGCAGAACAGAGCTGCAAATGTGCTTCTGGTACATGTACATGTGAACTGAGTTGTTCATTATTGCCCGCATTTAAGAGCACATAAAATGATTTATCTTATTTTCTTGACCTCTACTTTCAAATGATATTGAATGCTATATGGATTACCTTTAACTTGATTCTAATTGAATTCTATGAAAATCCTTCATTTGCTACAAAATTCTATCATAGCCGTAAGGTTTCCAAGCTACATTTTTTTCTCATTATAAAAACATTTTTTCCTCATTTCAGAGAAATCTGTATGTACCTTTCACTTACTACATTGTAGATCTTGACTTTAATGTTCGATTGAATTTTCTGATAAGGTCATTGTATCAACCATAGAACTTGCGAAATGATGATTTTAACAAGAGTGTTGATAAAAATTGCCTCATGTTAGTAAGTGTGGATGTGTTTAATGTGAACTTACAATGGGTTGTTTCAGAAACTCACTTTTGTTGCATTATTTAATTACAGATAATAAACTATTTACCTCTTTAAAGCATCTTTTTTGATTTAAGGACTCTTGTTTAAAACTACGGAAGCGTATTGCTGCCACTTGAAAAAAAATTTTTAGTCGTACGTTAAAAAAAAGGTGTATCTTTTAAATTTGAGATACAAGTCGTACGAACGAGTATACTGTGTCGTACGTACGACATAATTCTTCTTTCTTAACAGTAATAAGTCGTACGTACGACATAATATTAAGTCGTAAGTACGACATATGTGCTATATATTGCATAAATTACGACATAAATAAGTCGTACGAACGAGATACTATGTCGTACGTACGAACATACTAAGTCGTACAAACGAGATTAAATGTTGATACGAGATTTAAGTCGTACATACGACATAAATTTCGTAAGTACGACATGCATGCATGCACCTTATTAAAGGTGCTTCATTTGCTAGTATTCAATGTGTAATAAAAATGACACTATCTGAAGATGTTTTATAAACATGTAAATAGCTTTGCAATTAAATTCTTATGGAGATTTTCACTTTCACTAGTTACGTACTTATAATACTTTGACGTACGACATTTTACGCCCATTAAGTCGTATGAAATACAAACTAGAGTCGTACACTACGACATGAAATTATTTCATTTAAATATAAGTTGTATGAACGACATACTAATTTTTAAGAAAAATAAGTTAAAAAGTTTTCCTTTGTATTATACGGCATAAACTTTTCCAAAATAATGGGGTACGTACCCTTAACGATAATAATGATTTGAACTATAGGTTTAAGTCGTAGAAGAGTTTACTATTTATATGACTAATCACACTTTTCTAAGTTGTAAAGATTTTACGAACGAGTTAAGATAAACCCCTTTGAGAAAAAAATGTTACTTAAACGATATAATATGTAGTTATACGGTTTGCTTTATAATATCATGAACAGACGGGCGTGCCAGATATTTTTTGTGCTTTTGATTACTAAAACGGAACAACCTAAATTTCATATACATATGTAACTTTAATCTATTTAACAGTTAAAAAAAAGTCAATTTTACACTTTGACTAATAAGTCCTATCCAAAGGCCCCTGCTCCACCCCTAAAGAATCTGATAATTTGATACGTTTTTATCGAAAGAATATTATAAATTAATTAAGCTTTTCGAGGGAGTACCGATGTGGTGAAAAGTAAAAAAAAAATGAAAAATATTTCTTTAATTATATATATGGTTTATATTTATGTTTAATGTCCTTTTAATTTGAAAAGCTCGGATGTTTTGAGACTGACATTCAACATTTTTACTGTGGCCTGGTTCGAATTACCTGGTGGCACACGTTTACTTCTATAAAAACAGACTTGTATATTTCACTTCATTTTCCTTTATAAATATATTTATTTTTCTTTGAGATAAATTAAACGATATTTTTGAGAGAGACCAGAAATATTATTCTCTAAAAATTATCCACAGTGTAAGCATTCATTGTTTAGGACAACTTTATTTTCTTCCTACGATGAAGGAGTCACACACAACCCCCCCCCCCCCCCAAAGAAAAAACACAAAACATGACTGACATGCGGTTGATCCCCCCCCCCCTTAAAAAACAACAACAACAAAAAAAAAAAAACAAACAAACAAACAAAAACAATAAATGCGTGAATAATCTAATACATTTAATCTCGGAAAAGTTTCCAAACGAATAAATTAAAATGAAATCGCAGACTTTAGTAAATGATCATGATGTGAAGGACAGAATATCTTACTAGATTTGATTTTAATGAAGTTACATTTATCTATTAAGCGAAGATAACATTTTTCTAACAGGTTTAACGTTCACGTATATGATCAGCTTGAAGACCTGGGGGCCGTAACAGAAAGCATGCTATTTCGATTTTAAATGACTTTAAGCAAAGTTGCCACCCTAAAATTAATATATATACATTGTATACATGGAATGTTTCTTTATCAAATAAATAAGCCGTAAACTATAATTTGATAAGAAAAAAATGATGTATTTCAGCTGTTAAATTTGATCATTTTCATATGGAGCTCTTCTTCTAAAGGAGAGCAAATTGTCTAAAATGGCCACGACAATATTTCGCCCTCTTAAGCAGGGTTGCGCATACAAAGTGCTCATCCAGAAAAATAAAGAAATTAAGATTTCTTGCAGTGACATAGCATTGTTTTTGAAAGGGGAAAGGGGGCAGCCAGATAAAAAACTTATCTAAAAAAGTTGACAAGTAAAAAATTCCCCTATCAAGAAAACAAGAAGGGAGGGGGGGGGGGTTGTTTTTAAAGTTCCAACTTCTTTCAGTACAATTTTCCCGCATATAATACTACATGTACATTACACTTATTTCACTTTACTTTACAAAGTGGGGGAAATCTTACCGGCCTCATAATAATTTTAAACAATAATATTGCTATTTATGCCTGTTTTAGGAATATGCATATGAATACATTGTGTCCTAATTATCTACAATTTTTCATGAAATTTTATGCAGCTGTTTAAGAATAATTATGCTTATAAAAAAAGAAAGAAAGAAAATAAAAGGACTGCCAAAGACATTATACCACTCGCAACTTGTTGTTATAAAAGTAATTTATAATTTCTCTCTACATTTAAACACTCTTTCAGGGTCACGGGTAGAATAAATATATCATATTGAATAACATCTTTATCCTTCCTAGTCTATAATTTATAAATTGTAATAATCAGCTTTGCGGATAAATATGAAATAAACAATGTAAAATCCCAAGTTCGAATCGGACAGAGGTGATAAACTTGCTTGATTTGAATTTTCTGCAATCCAACAGACAATTCAAAAAGGCACATGGTATTTTGCCTGTAGAAACGAATATAAAGGACTAGAAGGTTGATAAAATATACATATTGGTTAAAAATGTGTTTAGAATTAGGGATACACCAATGCTGTAAAGTGTGAAAATTCTTCCCAAAAGTGCGTTCAAATCTTGCGCCGCAGATTGCCTATTATTTGCATTTAATATATGATGAAAGACTAAAATACAAAACCATAAAGCTGCAGCTACGTTCTGCTTTCACACAAACATATTATCTCGTTTGTACGACTGATAGTATGTCTTTGTTAAGACTTAGCTGTATCCCGTTTTACCAAAGAACTATTATGTCGTAAGATCAAAAACTTCAGATTATTGAAAAATTGCAAAATTAATAATTCTCTTTGAAAATGTCTATGTAAAAATATCTTACCACATTCTTTTTAAAAAGTTTAAAATAATTTTCTATATAATGTTAAATAAAAAGTTATATTGATAATTAAACTTGGTCTTACGTACGACATAAGTAAGCTTTTGTAAAACAGGTATCTGGTTTGTACGACTTATGAAA